GTACTTGGGCTGATTTGCATTAATGGATATCCCAAGCATTTGTAAGTGTCGTCTCTTCAGTTTTCTTGTGATTCTCATTACCGACAATTTGTTTCTAATTGATAGGTGAAGGACCTGTGCAAGCTTTTCAGTACTGCAGGCAAAGGGTCCAGGTCCAAAGACACACAGCTCAGACCTGAGACCGATGTGGTACCCAAACGAGACAGAGCTAAGAGGCATGGTCTGGATGAAAGAAGACGTCCTGATCGTGCTCGACAATTTGAGCCGGTTGAAGACCGTCGGTACCGCGAGCAGGTTGAAGATCGTCGGTACCGTGAGCAGGCTGAAGATCGTCTGTACCGTGAGCAGGTTGAAGATCGTGGGTACCGTGAACATCCCCATTTGCATGGAAGGGGATTGATTACATCTACTTTGATTCCATTAGCCCCTCTTCAACCTTTACCACCACCTGTTCAATCTTATGCATATAACAGGACTTTGGGAAGAGATCCTTATGGACAGGACACAGTGATTCAGCATAATGATTCTTACAGGCAGAGGCGATTGGTGGAACTCGCTGATCCTTATAGGCGGGACACTGTGATAGGCAATCCTGATGTTCACAGAAGACGAGCATTGGTAGAGTCACATGATCACTACAGACGGGAGGGAATCCCAGAGCCTCGTGAATATCATCAGCCTCTGAATTTGGAAACTAGACTCCAGGTTGCTGGTGGAATTAATGATTCATATGTGCCATACCGTGAGCGTCTATCATACCATGATCCTCCTCTTAACTCAGTGCGCTCCCAGCCTGAGTTTAACCCCTCTCCAGCTGGTTTGCGATCAGAATACCTCCATGGTGGTACATCTACTGTGTTCAGTTCTGCCAGAACCATGCTTCCTGAGTACCGTTCATCTGCAGCGGGTCCTATGTACGGGCACCCTCATCGACGTCAACATCGTTTTTAGGTTTACAAAAAAGGTACACCATCACGTGAGGTTCTGGTAATCAGAATCATGCACAGCTTAAAACTTGAGACTTATCTAAAATGTTATGTTAGTTCTCCATTCTTGCTGTAAGCAAGAGATTTAGTAGGAGATGTTATGCTTGTGTTTTGATCGAACTTTTAGATCAAACTATTATTTCCTTTCAATGGAGACATACCTTATGTGACAATGTTATCTTTTATTTTCTGTGTTGCGTATTGCTCAAGTATGTTGTAGGCTAGAAGACCACTGTTAAACGACCACGACTATAGCATGTCGTAAATGAAGCACACTGCATGGGTGTGCTTTGAAACTTATAGACTTGTAGCCTTTTTAAGACCTTTTTTCTCCAATTCACTACACATTTCCCCTATAGTTGATCCGTCACAGAATGAGGTATATCTTTTGGAGATTATTATTACTATATAGCCTTACAAAATCCTTTTCCAAAAATTTTAACAAAAAAGTCATTATTGTTGTTGTCGTTGTTCCCTCTTAATTAAAAATATTATTGAAAATTCCTTTCATGGTATGGTTGGTGATCCATAATTCCTCAACATCCTTTAAATGGAAGGTTTCTTTTTTCACATGCATTATTAGTAGTATATTTAAGGTAAATTACGTTAGGACAACACTTCATGATTATGGATTTAACTCATATATATCAAATAAGTTTTACACTTTTTTACATGATTGATAATTTTTAATATGTATAACATGTAGTCTAGTTTCTTTTTAGGTTAAGTACTATATATATATTCCATATTTATGAACATGGTTTTGTAATTGTCACTTAGGTAACTTGATAGTGTAAAAATTTTAGTATTCTATGATTAGTGTATAAAAGTTAAGCTCTACATTTCAATCCTTTTAGAAAATGCGTAGTTCTTTTTTTAGTCTTTGAGGGACCAAAGTTATAAATATGTACTTGTAGGTTAGTTAAGTTGGTAGTTGGGTCCTCAAGTAGACTTGGATATAATATGGGTTTTGCTTCAAGAAGAAGAGTTTTTAATAGTATGGTCCTAAAAATATGTTGACACAAAATAAAATAGTATGGTCCTAAAAAAAAATGTTAAAAACAAAAAGTAGAAAAGGCAGCATAACAATTTCTGCTTATTTAAGAAACCGCAATGGTCCAAAAGAGAAAGTTTGATGGCCACACATGCTCTAACAATTCTAGAGATTTTTCTTTATTGTAAATCAAAATTGAAGAAACACTAGAAAAGATGACAATTTCATCTTCTAAGAAAGAGTGTAGATAATCCTTGATTTGTGAATTTACATTTTAAGTATGTAGTCTCAAACTAGTGGGCGTCTTTGCTAGAAAGCGAATTGCCTATACAGTTGAATTTTCTTGTATGAATTCGTAACAATCAAATTTCAAAATAAATATCGAACAACGGACGGCAAGTAAAAAAAAAATGAGGAGAGAGGTGGCATCAAAGTGGAAGATTGTGTGGAGTGGGAAGGATCCATGATAGTTGGGGAGCATGTACTAAAATGGTCCTCAATGAAACCAACTCCATACCAAAAAGGGCTATTTGGTATGAGCATGCCTATATTGTGTATCACACAAATTTTACTACTATTAAAAAAGAGCTTATGTTTTGTACATTGATAATATAAAAATTATTTATACGTTCATGTTTTATTTTATATAGATAATTATAAAGAAAATCTTTTATTATAATTATTAATTTGATTGATTATTTGAGAAAAAATGTTATATGCAATCTACGGTCATATGTTTTTCATGTTGACAACGTCTTTTATATCATCTAGGTATATAATTGAGCGTTTTGTAGTTTGTATTTTTTTTAAGAAATTTTTATTTTTGCACTGAAAAGATCTTTATTTTTACACACAAGAGATCTGAGAAGACTATTTTCTTCTATACAAATTATAAGAGGGCAAGATATTTCATTTCCTCGCTAGCTAAGATTATCTAGGAAAAATGAATATATTACCATGTTACTATTGTAATTAAAAGTAACACGTTATATTATTATCTAAAATAAAACAAGATTTTTTAAGTAAATACACAAAAGTTGGAACAAGATGTAGTAGTAAACACATACCAACTCCTAAAAAGCAGTTTTTAAGGAAGGATTAGAATGCTATTAATCCTTGGGATAAAAAGTTTGCTAGGTACAAGAGACGTGAAGTCTCAACTTAAAATTTGTTGACAAATTAAGCCAATGAGTCTTTAAGCTTACTCTTTCTATTTCATAATTTAGTATCATAATCATGACTTACTTTTACTAGTATTTCATAATTAGCAATTAGCACTACACAATGTCTTTCTAGACATATAGCATAAAGACTTCCAATTAATTGAGATTAGAGATCATTTATATCATTCACATTCTTTGTAACAATAGTTATTTTAATTGGCGTTAAGTTAAAATCTACTTTATTGTAATCCATGCTAGTAATGATATATTGCTTATATTGTTCAAAATTTAATTTCTTACAAGTGCATCAAATTTACTATTTATAGGTTGCAAAGATATTACATTATACAAATAAATATGGTTTATATGTCCTCTCATCCTTATATACCTAAGTTTGTTTTAGCATTAGGAGGTTGATATGGAGTTTTGACATCACTATTGATAATCTAGGAAGGATTGGTGATGGAGTTGTTGATTAAGTTACCAAGATAGGTGGAACTTAAATTTGGTGGTGCTATTATTCATTGCTTTGAGTTCTATTTGGGATTATTTGAGGTTCGAGGGTAGTTAAATTTGAGTTTGAGAGATAGAGACATTATCTGTTGGAGGTATTGAATCTTGAAGTAGACAATATTGTTGATGTCGTTGTCACCATTCAAAAATGGATGTGATGATATTTATCTTATCGCACCAAGACAAGTCAGTCTAAAATCCGAATATACGATAAAATGCGGAAGTAATTCAAGAATAAAAGTCTAACACCATAAAGTAACGTGGAATCATAATCAACTTAAATAAACCCCTAGAAATATGATTGTCACGTGTACAAGCCTCTAATGTATTACAACAGATTTGAAGAAAAAAAAAAGTCTCAAATGATATTGTCTCTAGAGTAGAACAAGATCAAAAATAGGAGAAGAGAGTTCACTGAGATGACAAACAACTACCTCACAAATCTCCACAAGAAGTTTCAGACAAGAAGAGCAGGGGAATAATCACAAAGATCCGGCTCGTAACCTACACAAATGTAGAAACAAAGCTTAAATCATCAAAATATCAAAACCTTTTAAATACCTTCAAGATTAAGGTCAAAATTCATGTTTACACCTCAAAATCACGGACTAATTAATCGGTAAAAGAGGTGAGGGGCTAGAAACCGTTACCCAATCGATAAATCTTGCAAATCCTTTTTGAAATCGCCAAAACCGAGCTCTTGATAATAAAAAATAGAGAAAATAGGGTTGAAAGACTAATTTTTGAAAAGACGTACAACCAAAGGTCCTCCGCAAACGTAGACCCCTACTCGTGAACGCGGACCAGTGGCTCATTAAAGTCTGTGAATGGAGCCCTTTCCTTCGTGAACGCGGAGAGGGGCTGCCCGACCCTCCACACTACTAGAATTTCATCGTTTGCCGACTGCAAAATTGATCGGAATGTAGTCGGAAAATGGAGTTTGCCGACGACTTTTTGACTACTTTTGAGTAGTCGGCAGATTGAGCGTCGGAAAATACTTGCCGACTACAACAGTCGGAATTTGCCGACTACCATAGTCACAATATATAAATTAAAACCCAACCATTAAAGTAATTGAAGTGCCGACTACTGTAATCGAAACATTAATAAAATAATAATTTATTAATTTAATAATGCCGACTACGGTTGTCGTAATAGTTAAATAATTAAATAATTAATTTATTAACTATTTAGGTGATCTTCCGACTACTGTAGTCGGCATTTTCAATTTTCTAAACAAAATTCTATAAGAAAGCTGTATTTTTAATATATAGAAAAATATTGTTTATTTTGGTACACCACCTGCTAAATTATACTACCATCCATAACAATTCAATATAACAATAAAACCAAACATCGAATACATTCCTAAACATTCAAATTCCACTTGATTCACAGATTCACAATAGAGTCTAAAAGTTCAAGCATCATCAAAATCAAGTCTAATAAGTATTCAATTGTTATTCAAAACGGAAGTAAATAGTTTAAAACAAGTCTAAATGTCGTAGAAAATGTCTAAACAACCATAACATAATCTTCTCTTCATCAGAGTCCATCTCTTCTTCGCCATCATCAGATTCAACCATATGTTTCTCCATGAACTTCTGCACTTTAGCATAGTTAGCTTCAGATGTTTGAAGTCGTTCTGTAAGCTTTGAAATCTCTCTTCACATTACTTCCATTTCTTCTGAAGTTTGAGAAGTAGAAGCACCAGACAACAACGGTGATGGATGACATGAGGAAGGTTGTGCTCCAAGCCCGTAAACTTTGCCTTTCTTCACACCTCCTGCCACATTTGTCCAAGAGCCATCTGAAGTTAACAATATAATGTTCCTACGTTGAAAGAGGCCCCTGGTATGTGTTCATGTCTAGGAAAGGGTGACAGAAATACCCAGAAAACTCCTGGAGGTCTCATCTATAGGCAAAGATGGAACAATATGCAGTTTGTTACTAGTGTGACCATGTCAAATAGTTTGTGATAATATGAGTGAGGGTGAAGCTTAAAATAGCACCCCTCTCTGATATATATACCATATTGGTTAATGGTGTAAACATCTCATACAGTAGTTTAAGCTATTTGAAATGACACGATTTATTTACTTATAAAGTTTAAACTATAATATTGAAACCAGAGTTCTAACATAATTTTTTTGTTATTAATAATGCAGGAAACATGGACTCTTTGCCGTATCTTGAAACGAAATGTTTCATATAAGAAACCAATACCAGATTGGAAAGAAGTGGCAAAAAAACAAAGAAACAATTCAGTGATGAATATGGATGCTTTAAGCTCCAAAATATGCAGCAATAGTAGTATTGAATCTTTTTCAAATAATTCCCAGATTTACATCAATTTTAGCACTACTCCTGTTGTTAAGCAGAATACTTATACTAATACTATAACAGAAAATAAGCATCAGTTTGTAAGCAAACAAAGCTCAGGAACATCATCTCAAAGTACAACTGTTGCTGCAACATCCAATTCCAGTACTCCTCTGGACTTTAATGAGTGGTTAGAGCATGGCAACTGGGATGAACTTAAATCAATTTTTGAGTTTTCGTTTGATCCTTCGTTTTAGTTTTGTCTAATGTACGAGTTCTTCTGTTGGATTTAACTTATATACACTAATAGTTGTACGTAGTAGATTATTTTTCGGGCTACTACTCACAGTTACATACATGATACACCAATCATTTTACTAAGTTAGCGTCATAAGGATGATTTAAAACCCGAACCTACATGATTTTTCTTCTCACTTGCAAAGACAAACCACTACACAAATGAGATGATGATGAATTACATGACACAGAGATTAAACACAAAATAAATACTCTAATTGATGAGTCTGTTTAAATTACTTGTGACACAAAGCAATGCCATTAATCAGTATCCGTACACAAAGCAACAACACTATGGACCTCGCCCATCGTCACAACTAAAGGGGGGAAAAAGAGTGTTTTCCCCGTCAAAGAAAATACCTAATGATTATGAAAACTTTCATATTTACAGCAACTAATAAATGCATTTTGAAAAAAAATCTAATTCAAAAAAACCTAGGGCAAAATTGAAATCCTAAAGAAGGAGAGTGTTTACAGTGCCAAATTGAAATCCTAAAGAAGGAGAGTGTTTACATTACCTCTTCCAAACGATTTACAGTACCTCAATAGAATGGAAACTAAAACCTTACGCACTCAAAATTATTGAAATTAAAACCCTAAAGAGTGTTCACATTACCTCTCTAAGACGATGGCAGTACCCTCTCAAATGAAATTGAAGACGACGCCTGCTAAGCCAAATCGAAGAGACGACGCAGTGAGCTCTCTAAGACGGCAGTAACCTCTGCTAAGAACCCAAACTGATTTAATAAAAAAGGTTTTTTGTTCTAATAAAAGAGTTAGCCATTTTAAAATAATAACTATATTACATTAGTCGGAAAATAAAATTAATTTTAAGCTAAAAAATATTGTTAAAGGGCCGACTACAGTGGTCGCCATTTAATAATATTTTAAAAATTATTTAAATAAGTTTCCGACTACTGTAATCGGTAACTGGTCAATTATTTTTTTGACTTCATTTCACAAAACATTACGACTTTAGTAATCGAAATAATGGTCGAGTAAAATTATTAAAAATTAGAAAAATATAAATTTTAATTTCCCGATTACAGTAGTCGGAAAAAAATCCAACATACCGACTACACATTTGTAGTCGGCGATTGTAGTCGGAAAATGGCTAATTTCTAGTAGTGCCACGAACGCGGCAAGGCTCCCGCAAATGCGGAGGTCAAGATCCTGACCGTCTGCGAAAACAGTCGAGCTTCCGTGAACGCGGGGGTCCCAAATCACTACCCTCCGCAAACGCAGTCACATGCCCTGCGAACGCAGAAGGCTGGCACCAAATGCTAAAACTCAGCAAAAACAACCAACACACAAGTTTTTGAATGAACCTTTAAGATTTATTTGGAATCTCGTACATGCAAACCAAGTATGCAACCCAACTAAACTCGATGCTTCTGACTCAATGAGACCATCGAAACACGAATTTGAGGTCTCCTTAATTCGAAGTTCGTGAAAGTCGCAATAGACTAACTTAGCAATCAAAAAGACCAAACTGTCCTCAAAACCTCTGAAAATTCAATCAAGACCTCCCCTAAACCTAAAATCATCCCCCCGAATCTAATGGAACTGTCAAAAGTTTGATCCGACCAACCGAACCCTGAATGTTGACCAAAGTCAACCCAAAGACAGAATAACATCAACTTCCAACTTACGACCTCAAATCTATGAAATAACTCTGAATCTGAAACCAATGACTCTCCCTAAACCAAATTTTGCATTGTGGAGATGATGGGACTGACAGAATTCGTTCTGAGATTTGAAACTCCAATTGCTACCAAAAACCACTTAAGCCTTTCAAAACTCAAAACTCCAATAAAATCATAACTTTCCACTCAAATTTTAAAACCAACTCCACACTTGACAAAAAAATTCAAAAATGACCTTTCAGATCATTACAACGGTGTGAATAATGATATTATTGGATCAAATCTTATAACAATAAAGGTTTATCTATCCGACTATTTCACAAAGCTCAATGACAAGTTTGAACCTTCTCCTTATTCTAAAATATACATTTAACTTTATTTTTAATTAGTTTTGCACATTCGATCACTTCATTATAGTAGTAATGCCATAGCACCAATTATTTACTTTGTTTGTTTGTGGGGATACATGTAATGCTATCAATTACTGTATATTTTTTTCCTCAGGCAATAGTCAATCAAAAGAACACCCCCCCCCCCAAATCCCCCACCCCAACCCATGTCAGTCAAAGTTAGTTTTATAATAAGTCCTTATATTTCTACAGTGTCACTTTCTATTTATTCCAATTTTGAAAAGTTTGCTCTTTAAAATCTGTCAGTCAATATTGCAGATTTTTTGTGACTAAAAAGATGAACATATGCAAGGTGTCCACCTTGACCTATCAATTCTACAACCTGAAAATTTACAATTTTTTCCCCCCAATTATTCAATATTAATAATACTACATATTATTTTCAGTATGTAATAAATCTCACACATTGAGTACTTTTGTACTCATATTCTCTCTATTGATTTTATGTTTAAATACAAATATATACAGACTTTATCTTTACTTCCGATCCGTCAATTAATCTAATTGAGGGAAGAAGAGAATCGGTTCACAAAGGAAATTGAGCAATAAATATAGCACATGGAGGGGAAATTATTAGTGGATAATAAGGAAAGAAATTGATGTAGGTAAGTGAAAGCTAGTTGTGACTTTGTCCTATTTGGAATGTCACACAATTTCTAGGTTCACATGGATAATATCTTATCTTTCTTCTCAAACATTAATTTCCACATTATTCTATTTTTCATATTCTTCTAAGACATTCTATATTTGAAAGACATAGATTTCTAATTAATTTAGATTTGCCTCAATTTAAAAAGATAAATAAAAGCAAAACACTTTCTATTAAGATCTCTCATCCTAAGACTTAAATTTTAAGGGTTAAAATCAAAAAGTTCATGTCAATCTAGAAAATTAGATTGTGAAGGGCAGAACCGACCCACACGTTGGTGGTGCACGTGCACCGATTAACTTTGGAAAAAATTATGTGTACCTATTTGAGAAATTGACAAAATTTAGGATATAATTAGGAGTGCACCCAATAAAAATAGATGAGTGTTCTTGTGTTGTTGGTACAAACTGAGGGAACCACCTTTAAGTTTAGGGTTCAAATTCAACTAAAGTCCCTTTTCACTGTTTTTATTTTAAATTTAGCTAGGTAATGTTGATACACCTGAAATCTTTGTGAAGGGTTGTTTAAGTTAGTCTCCACAAACGCAAGAAATAAGGTTGGGATACAAGAAGTTCAAGATTAGAGAATGGGGAGGGACGGGGAGGGTTGAGCTTTACCCACAAAATTTTTTAATCCGTCCCGCTTAACAACTCTTTTCATTTTCAACTTGCCCCACCCTGTCCTGCATAAATTTTTTGAATATTTGCCTCTTTTTAAAAAAATAAAATTAAGTTTGATACTAAAAATAAAATTTATAAAAATAAATTCATTTTCTCATTAAGCTGTAATAATTTAATAGATAATAACTTAAAATTTTATTTTTTAAAGGTCAATTGGGAAGCATGTAAGAAACCGTATTAGTTTTTATTGAACCATTTTCATTTACTATCTTGAATATTTTAGTAACTTTAAAGAAATTATCTTTATAAATAATGCTTCATCACTCTTATAACATGTAAAAAGTTAAAATTAAGTTTGAACCCGCATAGACCCGCAACCCGCCCTCCCCTCTTTAGTTTTTAAAAACCCCACTTCAACCCAATCCGCATCCCACCCGTCCCGTACAATTTTAAAACCACCCCGCACCATATAGCCTTAAAATCGCCACACACGCCCCGCATCCGTCTCACCCCCGCCCATTGCTATCCATTAGTAATTAATATTCAACTTATACATGTACAATATAATTTTCGAATGAGAGTAAATGTTTGACTGACCTATTTAAATATTTAAAATTCACCCTTTTCGAAAACCTTGATTAGGAGGGAAAGAATCTAACCCCTTGATGGTCCTCCTCCTTCTCTTTCCATTTTTTTTTTTGTCTCTTCTATTCGCAAATAGTGATACATATACATAAAAATAAATACAAAAGTAGAAAAAATAAATGAGGGAATCCCACATTGATTATAGAGGTGGAGTTAGGTTTCAGAGTCGAAGGAACAGAGATTCTAGTCCTTTTAAGTTACTAAATTTCAAATTAATAATATATATATATATATGTATATTCAGTGAATTTCTTAAGACAAAACATAAAAATTGAATAAAAAATTACAGAATTCGTCTAAATTCATAAATTAAATTTTAGCTCCGTCCGTGACATTAATAGTACGTGTGAAAATGAGACAAGCATCTGGAAATGATGATGTGAGGAATTTAATTTCATCATCCCATTGCATGTGACATACCGTTGTTGTTGATAAGCACCAAATTTAATTTGGTGCAACCTAAATTCCAAGAAAATTACTTCCGTACACATGTATGAATTAATTATAGACATACATATGAATGTACATTAATAAAATCATTTGTTGACCATGCTTCATACTTAATTTTTCATGGAGATGATTTTTTAGTGTGAAATGTATATTGTAAGCTCTTTGTCAAAGGCAATTGTTTTGATAGTTGTGGTATCCCATTTTATTTGTATATATTAATATCCGTTGGAAATAGCTATTGGATCGGGTTCATTCATGAAAGACGCGCTAATTAGCCAGTATGAATATTTGGGATCCGGCTCCCTTTCATTTCGTCAAATGCACGTCTAGATTAGAGACACGTGTCATATTTAAAGTTTAAAGGTCAAGATTATATTGTATTAAGAAATATCATAATCATAGTTAAGTCAACTAATTTTAGAAAACTACTCTCCAAAATTTTGTAAGGATTACAATATATTCTATACAAAATTTGATATTTATTAATATTATTAATTTAGTATTATATTTCTGTATTTAAATATTAAATTGTATGATATTTAAAGTGAGAATCAACTAAACAAATTATGTACTAGTAAACTTTGCTCTTGAAATATTATATATACTATGCTGAGAAACAAAACAAAAAAGTTAAGAATTATAAGTGTGGAGAAAAGCCATAAAATAAAAGACACGGAATAAAAATAAAATGAAAAGATGAAAGGTTTTTAGAATTAAACCTGAAATACCAAAAATATTCCGACGATAAAATGTGGCTATTGTGTTTGAAGGGGGAAAATATATGTTTTTTTTTAAAAAAAAATAATCTTTTATCTCTTTTTTTTTCTTGTGAAATAGAAGATAACATTGTTTTAAATGCAAATGTTTTTGAAGATTATTATTTATCACATTAAATATAAATGTTTCATGTTCTACAATTTTTAATATTTAAATGTAAACTAAAAATATAAGATGAAATTAATGATATTAATAAATATCAAATTTTGTATGGAATATATTGTAATTCTTACCAAATTTGGAGAGTAGTTTTCTAAAATTAGTTGACTTAACTATGGTTTATGATATTTGTTCATATGATATAATCTTGACCTTTAAATTTTAAATATGACACATGTCTCTAATCTAAACGTGCACTTGACGAAATGGAGGAAAGGGGTAATGGAGGGGAGCCAAATCCTAAAAATAGAAGATTTTTCACATTAAACGACATCTAGTTTACAAGAGGAAAAAACGCTCTGCATTCCTTAAAAGATATCTAGGTTATGAAAATATGGGGATTCATCCTTTGAGTTATTATATCCTCCTTTTAAAAGTTACTTTTAGTCAATTATTTTCAATAAAATATTAAAAGCATTACCTATA